AATAATAATAATAATAATAATAATAATAATAATAATAATAATAATAACAACAACAACAACAGTAGTAGTAGTAGTAGTAGTAGTAGTAGTAGTACAGAATTTAAACAGACAGGTATTAGAGTTCAGAAGACAGACATCTGAATTCAAACAGATAGGCACCTGCCACATAAAAACCCAGACTTGTCAATAAGAAAGACAGAACAATCTGAATAGTGGGTGTGGCCATGCCTGGAGACAACAGAATAAAAGAAAAAGAATTGAAGAAGATAACAAAATACAAAGACCTACAAATAGAAATAGAACAACTGAGGCAAAGGTAAGCAAGGGTGGTACCAATAGTAATAGGCCCCTTGGGTGCAATCCCAAAATAACTGCAGCACCATTTGAATGCCAGTGGCATTGACAAATTCGCCATCAGTCAATTGCAGAAGGCAGCTTTGATTACATCAGCTTCTAATCTTCGATGTTATCTGTAACATTGTCAAACATCCATACCTGCCTATCCCAAGTCCTTGGTAAGGACTTGATAGATAGACAAAAATGCTAAATCCAGTCTGAACATCTGGCTGATTGTGTGATTAATAGTAATAATAGTAATAATAGTAATAATAGTAATAATAGTAATAATAATAATGAATACCTTGATTCTACAACAACACACCCTACTTGGAACAGTTTATATCCTCCGACGCTACTTTAACAGTTCCTAGGTCCTTGGTTAGGACTTGAGCTGACGAGCTACCAACCAGCCCCAAAGGCTGTGAATCTCACCAAAGATTAATAATAATAATAATAATAATAATAATAATAATAATAATAATAACAACAACAACCCCAATAATTGGGACTTTCGAATACAGATGGATCAATATTTGGAACACAACACGCCAGATATCACAGTTGTCGAAAACCGAAACGTACAATTTATTGATATTGCTGTACCAGGAGATGTCAGAGTCAAAAAGAAAGAACTGGAAAAAAAATCACAAAATATCGCGACCTGGCCATCAAAACTACGCGATTATGGATGAAACATATAACAGTGATACCCATTGTAATTGGTGTACTAGGTACCATGTCCAAGAATTTTACAAAATACATCAAGAAACTGCAGCTTCCTGCAATAACACCAGTGGAACTGAAAAAAAAATGTGCTACTTGGAACATCATACATTTTCAGAAGATACTTCGTTGATACTCAGGATGCTGGCAGCAACTCATATCAGCCATCAGTCAATGATATTTGCGATACATTTTTAAATGTGAAGTTGACTGAGTTTCATGTTTAATTAATAAAAGTATATAAGTAGTAGTAGTAGTAGTAGTACAAATAGTAGTAGTAGTAGTAGTAGTAGCAGCAGCAGCAGCAGCAGCAGCAGCACTAGTAGAAGTCAATAAGCAAAATTTATTTTGGGATTTATGTCATTTGCATAATTTTGTCATTACAGAAACAATGAACTATGCATCAATGTTATGCTATTTATGTAATGATATAATTATGCAACTTAACCTCATAAAATGATGCAACTGTATCATTTCTGTGATGACATCAAAACAGTCCTCTTTTGGCTTTTCTAGATATTAATAAACTCCTGAAGATGAGGAAGAACCTCAGGATGTTTTGCTCACATTGCTGGCCTTGTACGTCCAATATGTCTTGGATAGCTGCATTTAATAGCAGAAGTATAATTTTAGAATTACCTTGCACACATCACCTCCTCCCTTTCATGGATGAGGGAGAAGAACAGAGGGAACAAGACAATCAACAAACGGATCAGGCTGGGGAGGAAGAGCTGGAAGGAGGAAGAGAAAGAAATTTATTTTTCTCCCATCTTCCAACACAACCAAGGCTGGGCAGCAGCAAGCAAATTGACGGGCGGCTCAGAGGGCAAACAATAAATGTTTGATGAATGGCCCGTCGCTGGAGGAATGATGGGCTTCATATGTGCATAACGGAGAGCTGCAGATGTGGCATTCAGCAGGTTCTGACCAGTTCTGGAGAACCGGTAGCGGAAATTTTGAGTAGTTCTGAGAACCGGTAAATCCCACCTCTGGCTGGCCCCGCCCCCATCTATTCTCCGCCTCTTGAGTCCCGGCTTATTGGCTGGGTCTTCTTTGGTTGCCCTGCACAGGAGAATGGAGCTGGAAATCAGGTTAATGGAGTGGGGAGGGAATGGGGATTTTGCAGTGACCTTCCCCTGCCACGCCCGCCAAGCCACGCCCACAGAACTAGTAGTAATAATATTTTTTTGTATCCCACTCTTTCTAGGGCCTGCGCATCTTTTGTGTACCTCCGCGACCAGAATTGGACTCAGTATTCCAAATGTGGCCTCACTAGCGCAATATAGAGTGGTACTATTACTTCTTGTGGTGTTGATGCCACCACACTGGTTTTCTTTAATTATTTTATTTTATTTTATTTAGAGTACATACTGTACAGTTCATCTTCCACTTAACAGTGTGTCGCCTGGGTACAAATACCTTTTGCAGTAACAATTAAAGTTTACATCCATGTTCATTACTTTAGTATTAATTCTCTATTCTTATCTTGTTAATATACATAATATCTCTATTACTATAACACTCTTCTTCTTAACTTGTTTAATTCTATTAACATATTTTCTATATTTCACTAATCTATTAGCTATTTCTAGCTTTTTCCCTAGCCATCGATAAAATAGTTCCCCTATCTTATAATATTCAGTTTGCTCCTTCTCTTTAATTGCAAGTGT